GGTGCGCCTGGCGGGAGCGGGACCGGCTGTACTACGAGTGCTACTCGGACATCACGGTGCACGAGGAGATGCTGGCGGACCGCACGCGCACCGACGCCTACCGCCAGGGCATCCTGCGCAACGGCGCGGCGCTGCGGGGCAAGGCGGTGCTGGACGTGGGCGCGGGCACGGGCATCCTCAGCCTGTTCTGCGCGCAGGCCGGCGCGCGGCGCGTGTACGCGGTGGAGGCCAGCGCCATCTGGCAGCAGGCCCGGGAGGTGGTGCGGCACAACGGGCTGGAGGACCGCGTGCTCGTGCTGCCGGGCCCGGTGGAGACGGTGCAGCTGCCCGAGCCGGTGGACGCCATCGTGAGCGAGTGGATGGGCTACGGGCTCCTGCACGAGTCCATGCTGGGCTCCGTGCTGCACGCGCGCGCCCGCTGGCTGCGGGAGGGCGGCCTGCTGCTGCCGCTGTCGGCCGACCTCTTCCTGGCGCCCGTCAGCGACCACGCGCTGGAGCTGCGCCTGGGCTTCTGGGACGACGTGCGGCAGCTGTACGGCGTGGACATGAGCTGCCTGAAGGGCTTCGCCACGCGCTGCCACATGGGCCACTCGGCGATCGTGGTGGAGGAGCTGAGCGGCGAGGACGTGCTGGCCAAGCCGCAGCGCTTCGCGCACCTGGACCTGGCGCGCACCGGCCTGGAGCGCGAGCTGGCGGCGGGGGTGGGCGGGCGCTTCCGCTTCCGCTGCTACGGCTCCGCCCCCCTGCACGGCTTCGCCTTCTGGTTCCAGGTGACCTTCCCGCCGGGGGACTCGGAGCCGCCCGTGGTGCTGTGCACGTCGCCCTTCCACCCGGCCACGCACTGGCGGCAGGCGCTGCTCTACCTGGACGAGCCGGTGCCCGTGGAGCAGGACACGGACGTCTCCGGGGAGATCACGCTGCTGCCCTCGCCGCTCAACCACCGGCTGCTGCGCGTGCTGCTGCGCTACCGGGTGGGCGACCAGGAGGAGAAGACCAAGGACTTCTCCATGGACGACGAGCACTGCCTGGTGGCCCCGCTGCCTCCCGAGGAGGCGGCGGCCGGGCCCGCGCGGTAGAAAGGGGACCCCCCCCCACCTCCCCGCTGCAACGAGGGGCCTTTGCTCCTGCCTGCCTTTGCCCCCCTGGCTCCAGGGGAGGGAGAGTGATTCACTCTCACCTGGAGGAGATTCTTCTATTTTTAGAATGACCCTGATGTCCCCAGCGATGGAAACAGCGAGTTTACGAATAGGCTTTTTAAGCTCAAAAGTATGTGGTATACCAAGCACTTGTATTTCTGTTTTTTGTTTGTTTCATGAAAAAAAAAAAAAACCACGAAATAAAATGTCACTTTATGAAAGTTCGTGCACACTCCTGAAACCTCACACCTTCTCTCAGCCTGAGGCCAGGGAGACAGGTAAACGTTTAGAGTTAGACTCCGCAAGCTTCCAGGATAATTAGACTCTCTCTCCAGAGCCCTCCTTTCTTTTTCTGAATTCCCTCCCTTCCCTGTGGCCTCCGCTACAGGACTTCTTCCTGGTCTTTTAAATAAGCTTTACTACTGGCCATGGGAGGGGGGAGACTGAGAAAGCAGTTTAAACAGCCCTGTTCTCATTACACTTACTACTTCCATAAGGCGCTAAAGTCGATGAACACGTTAAATAGGTTTTATATATAACTGTACAACCTACCTGAGGAATCGAGAAAGGCCTGAAAGTGAAGTAGTATAGTTGTTGTGTTTTTTTTTTATTCTTGGCTGTACTATTAAGATTTAACCAAGAAACTCTTCCATGTATTTTCCACAATACATTTTTGTGTGATGTTATGGAACGGGCTGCAAGAGGACATTTCAAAACCTGACTCAGGGCCTTTTCATCACCATGGGTAAATCATTTAAGCTCACTGACTAAGAAAATATTTTCCCAGCTTGACAAGTTCACTGGTCCTCTAGGCTCCCTCACTTAGGTGGATCATGTGACTTGGCCTACTTACCACCAAGTGAAAATTCCCTTTTTAGGGTTTATCTTTTTAGCTCAGCCAAATGTGAAAGCTGTGAATTTAGGGAAGTCATTTGTAACGTGTGAGTCATGTTATCAAATTTATCTCACCGATGTTCCCCCCCCTCCTCCCTGTGGCAAATAAAACATTGGCTTTCTGTCTTCATAGAAGTAAGAAGTCTGGTGTACTCTCTAAGTGGCAGTGCTTTGGCCTTTGTAATACGGTCAGTTCTTAAGGAAAGTGTTAAAGCCCCTTCAGAATATAGCTTCAGGGTCAGTCAAACTGCTGAGTGGAGGGTTTTTTCAGGCTGTTGGCTTTTGTATGCTAATAGGAAACAGGTGTGAGAAACTGGCCTGAAGTGCTCCAGCAGTTTTGTTTGTAATGAGTTTTCTGCCCTTCCATTCAATGCATATTAAAGCACTTAAGTATTATAACTAATTTGTTAAAATTTGGTGAGCACAGGAGGATCTGCCATTATGAAGGGAAACGTAAATGTACAAAATCATAGACTTGACAAGATCCTTGAGTGGGAAGCAATACAATTATAGCTGTTCCCTTTGAAGTCCAGATAGCTAACAGCCTAGGTAAATGGTGCAGCCATAGCAAGCGAGGTGTGGTTCCAGCTAGAGGCATAAAATACCTCCTTATTTTAGGGGCGGCTGTATTTTAAGTCAAATATTTTATTTAGAATTTTAGTGTATTGTTTTGAGTAGATTTCTGGTGATTTTGGTTTTTTTTTTTGTTGTTTTTTTTTTACCTTGTTATAACAATCCCTTTGCTGTATGGGCAAATGAAAGCAACTTCCAAATTCCATTTGTAAAATATGGTTTCTAAATATGTAAGTACTATAGAGTTCTTATTACCAGTATAAGCACACAAAGGGAACATTAGTTGAAACTTTGGATAACTAACCAGAAGTAAGAGGAAAGTCTTTTATAAATAAGCAAAGTACACTTTAAAATCTTTATTGTTGCTGTTTCCCAAAAGAAAAATGAATTATCATAAAAATACAGCTACTAAAGCAATTAGTGAAGAGGAAGCATAGCCTAGTGGTTAGGAGCTTGGCTGCTCGAGCCAGTCAGCTCCTGCTGTCTTAGCCCCACCAGGCTGTGCAACGTTGGGCAAAATACCAACTTGTTTTTCTCTGGTGCTCTCTGCACATTGGGGATAACAATGGAAATGCGAGGAAACCATGAGTTAAAACATAAGCACACAGTGCCTGGAACATAGGATCTCAGTGTCTCCCAGCTGTTTGGGGAAAGTAATATGCAAACCCGGAGCAGTTGCACACAGAATGGGCTACAGAATAAAGTCAACATTTTGGTTTTTTAACAGGTATTGGTTGACGACTTCAGCACGGCTGTATATGGCAAGCAATGTGTGTCAGGACACCAGAGGGTCCAAGGGAAGCTCAAGCCCTTTGGTGTGAGGACACTTGCGGAAGGATGAGAGTGGGGTGCATGAACCTCCAGGCACTGTCCAGTCTTGTAGGAACTGGTGCTGATTGCATAGGGCCATGTAAGCCACGGGAAGGAGCTCCCAGCCCCAAGGAGAAGCACCTGGTGGAGTTCCACCTGCTTTCCTCCAGTAGCTTATATTTATTCAGCACTTCGAAACTTTCCAAAGATTTCCTTTAGTTCACTGGACCCATGGACATTTTATCAGGTGCACACTGTGACAGTCACTGTAATAAGCACTTAGGATACAAGCCCATGAAACGTAGTTTCTGCCTCCAAATAGGCATGTTCAGAGGCTCAACCAGAAAATCAAATCAATAAAGAATCATGGGATAAACACTGGGATGGTGTAGGTGTTAGGGAGGGCAGGTAAGTATCCTCAGTTTACAGACCAGGAAAAAAATCACAGATACTGAATTAGCCTAAGGTCTCATAGCTAATTGTTGACAATTGGACACAAGGCTCTCAATTCCTTACCCCAAACAAAATTTTAATTAATCCGTGTGTGCTTTAATCTTTTTTTTTTTTTTAAAGTACATACCTCTGGAATGGGTTTTTTATCTTGTGATAAATGAAAGAGGGAACTGTTCTTGGTTTAAGTCTCATTAGAACTCTCATAGATCTCAAAGATCCACCTTCAGCATATAGATTCTCAAGACTGACAGATAGTAAGCACTCATTGAAACAAGCCCTGTACCTATTTTCCTAACAGAGCTAATGAAAGGTGGCACTTTCTCAGGTCCGCAGGAAACTAAAGCCTCAACACAGGAACAAAAGTAGCTGCGCTCTGCCAATCTAGCTGCCCACCTGGTGCTGGAGAGCAGAGGCTGGATGTCCAGTGAGGGATTCGCTCAGTCAGCCGCTCAGTACACACCGACTATCCGGCCATTAAGTTCTATGGTAAATGAGCACATCCTAACCTCGAATTGCTGGGACACAGTAGGGAATACACTGACCTCCATCAATAATTTGTGTACATTCTTTAGCCCAGAAAAACCTCAGTCCAACTACCTCTTCCCTCTGCTCACGCAGGTCGAGAAGCCAGGCCTCATGGCACTTCCAGCCTTAAAACTTCTCCCAGGTGCAGAAACTACTACCTATCATTACATAGATTATGAGATGTCAGGAAAATTCCTCTCTGGTGTTAGTTCCAAAAGTAACTGTGNGTAGATTGAGATGTCAGGAAAATTCCTCTCTGGTGTTAGTTCCAAAAGTAACTGTGCCTCTGAATAACTGGTTTATTTCCTCTAATGGACACAGCAGATTGGGTGGATGTCCTCACGTTGGCGATTAGCTGAGCCAAATGTATGACTGACTTGGGCTCTTTTTTAGCTTTATATTTGGCTCCATTTCCATACCCCAGGTTTTTTTTCTCCCTTGATTTATTGCCCCTCTCACTTATAATAAATATTGCATGTTTTGTTGTAATTTATGTATCTTTGTTCTAATACTTTTTGGCATTAAAATATGTTCCTACTTTCTGAATACCTGCAGAGGTTCTGAGGGCAGGGAGGTCAGAGAGAGGGCTGGAGGATTCTGAGACGCGCCCCCTCCATTTCCTGTGAAACTTGGTGTCCCTGGTGGTTCCTTCGACGGGTAGCTGATTGGATCCCATCCTTTTAGCCAACCTACCGAATTTTACATATTTGTAGAATCGAGATTTCTGAACGTGGGAAGAATTCAAAGACCTGTAGACAATCTTGAGGAAACTCGGAACGTTCTGCAGCTCTTTCTAAACCTAGGATATGCCCTAATCAGATCTTAAACACAACAGAAAGGGAAATGGAAGACTGTCAGACCTGTCCCCAAGATGTGTCAGAACAGTTTAAGGTGATCGTAAGGAGGAAGATGGTACAAGGGGACTGTTTATCAAACTGTCCTACATGCTTATAGGAAAGGACGTTTGAAACAAAGAATCCTGGACCTAACTAAACACAGAGGATTTTAATAAAAATTAAGATATGACCATTGTATACATGCCCTTCCTCTATCCTCTCCCTAGGGGGTCTCATCCGGTCCCATTAGTTTTAGTAGTGGGCCACCTGTCTGCTAATGACTCCTCTGAGGCGCCACCCCAGGTCATTTGCCTCTGACCCTGGTCCCTGGTGAGTTGCTGAGCGCTTGTTTCGGGAGAGTGCCGGGTTTGGTTTCGGCACATCCGAAGCACAGGCCTAGATCGCTGGCCTGAAGCTGAGCCTTCAGAGTAGGCCTCGCAGCTTCCCAAAGACGCCGTCATCACAACGCAGCCCGCGCTCAGCGCCCGGGCCGTCACCCAGACGCGTGCGGGCATGAGCGGGCGGCCACTGCCACGTGCGGGAGTCAGAGCTGCTCGCGGGAAGCGGGGAGGGGACTGGCTCTTGCTAATTCTCAGCCACGCCAAGGCCCTCCCTGAGGCGCTCTCCGCCTGGAGCATGCTTCCCTTCGGCCGCACGCTGGCACGCTCGCTCTCCTTCAGTTCTCCGTCCAGTCGTCACCGCGGGTGGCTTTCCCTGACTCCCGTGCCACACACCACAGGTCCCGTTTCCCCGTCACCTGAAATTCAGCTGTTTGTTTGCCTTTCTCGTAAGATTGTGAGAGCAGGAATCTTGCCATTGTCTGCCCATTGCCTGAAACATTATCTGACACAAAGTAGGTATTCAATACGTATTTGTTGAGCAAATGGGCCTTGTATGCCACATGGAACTTGCATAAGAGGGCAGAGTACCCATTCTAGGCAGGGACATTGGCTTGAAAAACGAGTATTCCTTCAAATTCTTCCCATGGTGGTTTAATAGATAGACGGCTTTCTGCTCTCTACATGGGAGTTCAGGTCATGCCTGGGATACTGACGATATCACGGATGGACGGTGCAAAGGATGGGGCTCTTGACTGTGCTGAGCTCGGCTGGAAGGACTCACGAGGCTGTGGTCAGATCAGAGGTCAGAAGATGGCTGGACTCGGCCAGGGCAAAGGGCACGGCTGCTGTCCCTCCCCCGGCCGTCGCGTGGAGCGTTGGCTCGTTTCTGCTCCACACGCTGTCTGTGTTTCTTCCTACCCCCCACAAGGGACGAGAGAGTTTTTGTGCTTTAAGGTAGAATTTCTGGCTGAACTGATTGGACAAAAGGCCTTAGCTGAGCTTGGCATCCGTATGTGAGAAAATCCTAATACTAAAAGGAAATCAAAATGCTGTATTCCAAACGGAAGATGGTATATGTTTTTACTTATTTATTTTGTATACGTATTGGGGTGACACTGGTTAATAAGATCATATAGGTTTCAAGTGTACATTTCTATGACGTGGTACCTTTTCAATTGAATGATAACTTTGAGACTAAGTTCCAGCTGGCAAAATAATAAAATAAAAGCAAACATA